CAAAACTAAAAAATTATAATTTAGACAATATAGACAAGTATTTTTTTGATATGAAACTTTTACAAAGGATTTTACATGCAAATAGAAACATCCATGTCAAATTTTGTAACTTTTTTGATGAATTTAAAATTTGGCAAAAAAATGTGATGGAACTCCTAGAGCTCGAGGTCAAAACTAAATAAATTATAATTTAGACATTATTGACAAATACTTTTGACATCCAACTTTTACAAATGACTTTACATGCAAATAGAAACATCAATGTCAAATTTTGCAACTTTTTTGATAAATTTAAATTTTGGCCAAAAAATCTGATGGTACCCTAGAGCTCGAGGCCATAATTAAAAAAATTAGAATTTAGACATTATTGAAAAATACTTTTGACATAAAACTTTTACAAATGATTTTACATGCAAATAGAAACATTCATGTCAAATTTCACAACTTTTTTCATGAATTTAAAATTTGGCCAAAAAATGTGATGGAACCCCTAGAATTCGAGGCCAAAACTAAAAAATTATAATTTAGAAATTATTGACAAGTACTTTTGAAATGAAACTCTACAAAGGATTTTACATGAAAATAGAAACATACATATCAAATTTCACAACTTCTTTGATGAATTTAAAATTTTGCCCAAAAAATGTAATGTACCCCTAGAGCTCGAGGCCAAAACAAAAAAAAATATAATTTATACATTATTGACAAGTATTTTTGACATTAAACTTTTAGAAAAGATTTTCATGCAAATAGAAACATCCATGTCAAATTTCTAAACCTTTTTGTTGAATTTAAAATATGCCCAAAATATGTGATGGTACCCCTAGAGCTCGACACAAAAACTAAAAAAATTATAATTTTGACGTTATTGACAATTACTTTTGACATTAAAATTTTAGAAAGGATTTTACATGCAAATAGAAAGATCCATGTCAAATTTAGCAACGTTTTTGATGAATTTTAAAATTTTTCCAAAAAATGTGATGGTACCCCTGGAGCTCGAGGCCAAAACTAAAAAATTATAATTTAGACATTATAGACAAGTATTTTTGACATGAAACTTTTACAAAGGATTTTACATGCAAATAGAAACATCCATGTCAACTTTCGTTACTTTTTTGATGAATTTAAAATTTGGCCAAAAAATGTGATGGAACCCCTAGAGCTCGAGGTCAAAACTAAATAAATTATAATTTAGACATTATTGACAAATACTTTTGACATCCAACTTTTACAAATGACTTTACATGCAAATAGAAACATCAATGTCAAATTTTGCAACTTTTTTGATAAATTTAAAATTTGGCCAAAAAATCTGATGGGTACCCTAGAGCTCGAGGCCATAACTAAAAAAATTACAATTTAGACATTATTGAAAAATACTTTTGACATAAAACTTTTACAAATGATTTTACATGCAAATAGAAACATTCATGTCAAATTTCACAACTTTTTTCATGAATTTCAAATTTGGCCAAAAAATGTGATGGAACCCCTAGAATTCGAGGCCAAAACTAAAAAAATTATAATTTAGACATTATTGACAAGTACTTTTGAAATGAAACTCTACAAGGGATTTTACATGAAAATAGAAACATACATGTCAAATTTCACAACTTCTTTGATGAATTTAAAATTTGCCCAAAAAATGTGATGTACCCCTAGAGCTCGAGGCAAAACAAAAAAAATATAATTTATACATTATTGACAAGTATTTTTGACATTAAACTTTTAGAAAAAAATTTTCATGCAAATAGAAAGATCCAAGTCAAATTTAGCAACGTTTTTGATGAATTTTAAAATTTTTCAAAAAAATGTGATGGTACCCTTGGAGCTCGAGGCCAAAACTAAAAAATTATAATTTAGACATTATAGACAAGTATTTTTGACATGAAACTTTTACAAAGGATTTTACATGCAAATAGAAACATCCATGTCAAATTTCGCAACTTTTGTGATGAATTTAAAATTTGGCCAAAAAATGTGATGTACCCCTAGAGCTCGAGGCCAAAACAAAAAAAATATAATTTAGACATTATTGACAAGTATTTTTGACATTATACTTTTAGAAAGGATTTTCATTCAAATAGAAACATCCAAGTCAAATTTCGGAATGTTTTTGATGAATTTAAAATATGCCCAAAAAATGTGATGGTACCCCTAGAGCTCGAGACAAAAACTAAAAAAAAATAATTTTGACGTTATTGACAAGTATTTTTAACATGAAAATTTTAGAAAGGATTTTAAATGCAAATAGAAAGATCCATGTCAAATTTCGCAACTTTTTTGATGAATTTTAAAATTTGGCCAAAAAATGTGATGGTACCCCAAGAGCTCGAGGTCAAAACTAAAAAAATTATAATTTAGACATTATTGACAAATACTTTTGACATCAAACTTTTACAAATGACTTTACATGCAAATAGAAACATCAATGTCAAATTTTGCAACTTTTTTGATGAATTTAAAATTTGGCCAAAAAATGTGATGGTACCCCTAGAACTCGAGACCAAAACTAAAAAAATTATAATTTAGACATTATTGACAAGTACTTTTGAAATGAAACTCTACAAAGGATTTTACATGAAAATACAAACATCCATCTCAAACTTCACAACTTCTTTGATGAATTTAAAATTTGCCCAAAAAATGTGATGTACCCCTAGAGCTCGAGGCCAAAACAAAAAAAAATATAATTTAGACATTATTGACAAGTATTTTTGACATTAAACTCTTAGAAAAGATTTTCGTGCAAATAGAAACAGCCATGTCAAATTTTGCAACGTTTTTTATGAATTTAAAATATGCCCAAAAAAATGTGATGGTACCCCTAGAGCTCGACACAAAAACTAAAAAAAATTATAATTTAGACGTTATTGACAAGTACTTTTGACATGAAAATTTTAGAAAGGATTTTAAATGCAAATAGAAAGATCCATGTCAAATTTCACAACATTTTTGATGAATTTTAAAATTTTGCCAAAAAATGTGATGGTACCCCTAGAGCTAGAGGCCAAAACTAAAAAATTATAATTTAGACATTATAGACAAGTATTTTTGACATGAAACTTTTACAAAGGATTTTACATGCAAATAGAAACATCCATGTCAAATTTCGTAACTTTTTTGATAAATTTAAAATTTGGCCAAAAAATGTGATAGTACCCCTAGAGCTCGAGGCCAAAATTAAAAAACTTATAATTTAGACATTATTGACAAATACTTTTGACATGAAACTTTTACAAATGATTTTACTTGCAAACAGAAACATCCATGTCAAATTTCGCAACTTTTTTTAAGAATTTAAAATTTGGCCAAAAAATGTGATGGAACCCCTAGAGCTCGAGGCCAAAACAAAAAAAATATAATTTAGACATTATTGACAAATATTTTTGACATTATACTTTTAGAAACGATTTTCATGCAAATAGAAACATCCATGTCAAATTTCGCAACGTTTTTGATGAATTTAAAATATGCCCAAAAAATGTGATGGTACCCCTAGAGCTCGAGACAAAAACTAAATAAATTATAATTTTGACGTTATTGAGAAGTATTTTTAACATGAAAATTTTATAAAGGATTTTAAATGCAAATAGAAAGATCCATGTCAAATTTCGCAACTTTTTTGATCAATTTTAAAATTTGGCCAAAAAATGTGATGGTACCCCAAGAGCTCGAGGTCAAAACTAAAAAAATTATAATTTAGACATTTTTGACAAATACTTTTGACATCAAACTTTTACAAATGACTTTACATGCAAATAGAAACATCAATGCCAAATTTTGCAACTTTTTTGATGAATTTAAAATTTGGCAAAAAATGTGATGGTACCCCTAGAGCTCGAGATTAAAACTAAAAAAATTACAATTTAGACATTATTGGAAAATACTTTTGACATCAAACTTTAACAAATGATTTTACATGCAAATGGAAACATCCATGTCAAATTTCGCACCTTTTTTGATGAATTTAAAATTTGTCCAAAAAATGTGATGGAACCCCTAAAACTCGAGGCCAAATTTGACAAGTATTTTTGACATTAAACTCTTAGAAAAGATTTTCATGCAAATAGAAAGAGCCATGTCATATTTTGCAATGTTTTTGATGAATTTAAAATATGCCCAAAAAATGTGATCGTACCCTTAGAGCTCGACACAAAAACTAAAAAAATTATAATTTAGACGTTATTGACAAGTAATTTTGACATGAAAATTTTAGAAAGGATTTTCAATGCAAATAGAAAGATCCATGTCAAATTTCACAATGTTTTTGATGAATTTTAAAATTTTGCCAAAAAATGTGATGGTACCCCTAGAGCTCGAGGGCAAAACTAAAAAATTATAATTTAGACATTCTAGACAAGTATTTTTGACATGAAACTTTTACAAAGGATTTTACATGCAAATAGAAACATCCATGTCAAATTTCGTAACATTTTTGATGAATTTAAAATTTGGCCAAAAAATGTGATGGTACCCCTAGAGCTCGAGGCCAAAATTAAAAAATTTATAATTTAGACATTATTGACAAATACTTTTAACATGAATATTGAAACACGGGCATGTCACGTTTTCGTACTAAAGCCGTGTTTGTTTTTATGACAGGTTTTGATAATGCCAAACCGCCGTGATCAAGTCAAACTTTGAATATACAAGGCGAAGAAGGAATACAAGAACAAGAGCTAAAAGAAGACCAAGAACGAAGACCTTAGTCTTAGTGTCGTGAGTCGGTCTTCATTGTGATCAAGACCGACCCAATCTTTACACCTTGGCTCTTTAGGCTAAAAACCTTCATTGCACTTATTAAATCATAAAAATGTTTTTCAAACATGTTTAAGTCATTAAAAACACTTGGTGTTCGCCCAAACCAAAAACCCAGCAATCCGGCGTTCGGGTTTCAGAAACCGGCGTTCGGCTCTCGGTTATCGGCTATGGTTTTTGGCGTCCGAACCAACCAAGTGGTTTTCAACTTTTCATGATTGTTTTTTACTCTTTGGCATGTTTAAACGGTTCTCCAACAAAAACACCTTGAAAACCATCTTTCGCTTTTGGTCGTTTGACAAAAATCATTCAAAACGGCATAAACTTGGCTAGCCGTGGTTTTCACTCAAATGACGTGGTTTTTAAAGTGTCTTACTTGATTTATTAGCCAAATACATCAAATAAGGGTTTTAAACACTTGGTTTTTATTTTGGAGAACTTTGAATTTTTCGGTCGGGTTTCGCATCGGTTGGCTAGGCCGTGGTTAAGGCAAAAACCATGGGTTCTTGACTAACCACCCACCCAGCGATGGGAAGATCTTCCCATCGATGGGTAAGCGGTCCCTTAGCCAAACCAATTTCCAGAACCATGTCAAACAGCGATGGGAAGTTCTACCCATCGCTGTTCAAGCC